ACCATCAGACTAACCGTTGGAGGTTTTCGTGGTTTTCCTCTCAATGTTAGGCGAATGCGGGTTAGTTCCATCATAAAGTCCCCCGCGAAAGCAAACGTTCTTCCAATACTTGATCCAGGAGTTCCCTTGTCTTCTGGATTGGGTTCGAAATTGCAAGACTACGGAGTTGAACATTAGTAGTTGTGAACCCAAAAATTGGGTCGGATGTTCAAAGACGGTTATAAAATAAAATAAAATAATTGGAGGAGTGCCGATAAGAAATAAAAACAATTCGTAACCCTTATTTTATTTCACCAACGTATAAACTTCATAGGTTTATATAAGATAAAAGTTAGAGGTATGAAAAGTTAACGGTACAACAGGTTGAAAATATAAACCTGACATAAAGGCATAAGCCAAGGTTTAAAGTTATAAAAATTAAAGATATTAACTCGAGAAATGCAACTTAGAACTTGCATCCACTCAGTTTTTCTTTTTGACTCACGCATTGTTAATAGCTTTTAGTAAAAGAATGAAAAGAAAAGAAAACAAAACACAGTATTTTTTTCAATAATGTTTAAATAATTTATTTGAATAATTATTTCATTCATTTGCAAAAAAAACAAAGTCGATTCTCTCACCGTCTTCATACACTAAAATCTAATAACAATCATAAATATGACACACTAAATTCTGAAGCACTTGTGAACAGAAAATATATACAAGACATATGGGAACATTCATGTTATGAAGGAATGTGTATAGGAACATTCAATACTTTTATGTGACATATCTGCATGCCAAGTGACATCATATTTATACAACTTAAATACATGTGATAACAGTATAATCAGATGAAAGAGCACCGGGATAACTTCGTGAAAAATACAAAGCACCAAAGGAAAATATTCATTCATCATAGTTAATGAAAAAAATAGACCAAGTGATAAAGTAAGTTATAATTTGAGAAAATTTCAACAAAAGCAATTTTAATGCTTTCTAGTTTGAAATACACAAATGAAAAAAATTTAAAACTATTTTTTATCGACCTTTTTTAACATGGCAGTCACTAAAAATTTAACTAAAAAAATGCGTCATGTTAGATTATGTTACGTCTTAATTGTTATTTTAGGTTAAGAATTAAGACTAGATATAATTAATTGGGACCAATGCCCCTTATTTTACTTAGCTGAATCCTACACGAAATAAATTAACTTGGTAATTCCTGCTATTTCACTAATAATTTGCTATCAGCGCTGAAAAATAGCCTAAAATCATTCAATTGTTACAAGTTTTAACAATTGATTTATAGATGTTTCTCAACTTAAAAAGCAAATTGAAAGAAAAAAAAGTTACCCGTACTTAAAAAAATGTTAAGTTTCTTTTGTTCATGTTTCTGCATGTTATAAAATATGAGGTGTTTTTCACGTCAAATTTTACCTTTCTCACTTTTTGAAAAATATAAAAACTCCTTTTAACAAATCTTAATGCTATGAAGTCACATTGTTTATAAGATTGATTTACTAATTTTTATTCTCATGCAAATGTAAACGTGAGCTTTTTCTTATAAATTCTCATGCTAAAATAATACAATAGACAACAGCAAACTTTTGAAAATAAAGGTCTGTCAGACATTTAATTATTATAAAGGAAGCAAATTGAAATCAAGACTTTGTATAGAAATGAAAAATAATATTGTAGAAACATAAGTTATAATGTAGAATGAAATGTATAAATATAAATACAAATCCCAAAAAGCCATTCAGTTCTTTATTACAAAAGTCTTAAATTCTTCCATAGTTCGTCATAAAATACATAATCTGAAGTTGTAGAACTTTAAAATTAAATTTTTCATTCTAATTTTTAAGCGGCTAATTTTTACAAGGAAATATGTTTATATAAGACTAATTTCTGTAAGGAAATCAAGAATCGTGTTAAGTTGTAGAGATTTTATGAAAAAAAAAAGATCTATGTTTAAGTTCTGTATTCTTTTATGTAAAAATATAAATAATAGAACCAGCTAATTTTGATGAATAGCTTGTTTCCTTTTGTACCAAATTAATAACAGAATAATAATTTTCAATTTAATGAAAAGAGCATAAGATTTTTTTTTATCACAAAAAACAATTTTGGCGAAGATAATGATGAATGCCAGTTTTGAAATAGATAAATTGAAAGCCCAAACAAATGTCGGAGTCAACAGCACTAAATTCAAACAAATATTATAAAAAGATTTAAATGAATCATTTCTATTGATGTTTAAAATTTAAAAAAAACAAACTAGATCTTTAAATTTTAAACAAATGCACCAAATGTAATAAATACATCATTGTCAAAGAAATTAGAAAATTGTTCTAATGACAACAAAAACAAATAATTTTCTAAATATCTGCAAAATATGAAAATAATTTTATGAATAGAAATGAATGCCAGTTATACAAAACAAATAATTTGAAATTACATTTTCTGACACAATTCTTTGAAATCAGAAGTAAAACGAGAAAAAAAGATTTATGTGTTCATTATATCTGCAACTTTATTACAAAGAAAAACTGCATGGATTTAGAGCTTTTGTTTCCTGATTTTAAAAGGACAGAAAAACCCTATGTAATCGTATTCTCTATAAGAAATACATTATAATCAGCTTTAAGTTTTACACAACCTTCAAACTATTGAAGCGAAATTATTTGTAATCCCCAAACGTGTTCTGACATGCGTTATTTTAATCAAAAGCCTTTTAAATCCTGAAATAACGCAATTTATTTTTTTTTAGCAAACGCTTTAGTACATGCTGAATTTAGTAATAATTTTACAATTTTAAATTTCAATTTTCACTGCAAAATAAAATATCGCATATAAAGGCATTTTACATGATAAAAAATTTATTCTGCGTAGCAATAGTTCGTGGGATGCGAAAGCTTCGAAAACTGATTTAACATATTATATTTAAAAAATTTAAATGTCGAATTTTATTAGATAGCAACAAATTTAAGAGGTTTAAAATAGAAATAGACTGAAGTCTAAAAAAATACAACTTTAAACTGAATGAGCATACATGTCAGAAAAAGAAATATTTAGCGGAATATTTGTTACATATAATGATTGTTTAAATTCTAAAATGTTTCAAGATGAGAGAAATAAGTTTCAAAAGTTTTTAAATATTACGTTTACCATATATCTCACACGTTCATCGATTAACTTACGTAAGTATAGTTTCATGCATTAGCAAGAACGACATCCATTATTAGAGAATGCAGGGCCCATTCTATAAGGTTGAAAACCTTTGAAACATTTCAAGGAGTATTCATGTAATAGTTTTTTTTATGGAGCATTAGAGCAATTCAGTAATGAACAGAATTAATTTGTGTTTATTTAATTTCAAAAATCAGTTATTTATTTAGAAAGTTATTAGGTATTTTAAACAAAAGTAGTATTTTGTATTGTGTAAAATGTGTGCTTGTATCTGTGGTCCCTTCCATGCTCGCTTATTATCTATATTTAATTTAATTGTTTTACGACAAGCATTTTATAATTATTATTTAATCTTTTTTTTTTAATATCGAAAGAAAGCAAAGATGCAATTATACTTCATTTATATATAGGTAATTTCTAACCGAGTTCAAATCTAAATTATCCTCATCTTTTATTTTCATTTCATTTTTTTGTTGTTTCATATTGTAATAAATGTCTGATTTACATAAGTCTTTTTCAACACGATCATTATTAAAACACGAACACAAAATCTGAATTATCCTCATTCTTTTTTTCCATTTTATTATTTCTTATTTTATATAGTAATAATTGTCTGATTTGAATAAATCTTCGTCATCACGATTATTATTATAACATGAACAGAATACAATGTGTTAAAAATGCGTTTACCTTTATACTTTATTAATATATATATTTAATGATTAAAACAAACATTAAATGTAATTAACGAATTGCATTATTAACCAAAATTAACACTAATCTTAATGATTAATGACAGGGTAAAAAATGGACAAAATTCTTTTTATAAGGCCTTCCTAATTGTACTCTCCTCCCCTGCATTCGAATAATTCCTTCTTCATTCGCGGATAATTTTTAAAATGACATAAAAACGGTAGTTTTGTGACATTTAATGGCTAATTCTCAGGTTGCGGATCATGAAATTTTTTGCATAATAGGAAAGCGACGTCGTGACTCTTTATTGAATAGTGGAAAGGGAAAAATATTCACAGAAGAATGATTATTGATTTTAAGATTCAGTATTAAAATATATTTTCAGTAGTGTTAAAACTCATTCAACTCGGAATTTTACATGGGTTTTAAAAATATTAAAAAGAAAATAAGCAGAAGAATACCAAAAAGACTTTTCATGTAAAAAATTGAGAAAAATGTTAGTCAAATTAATGAAAAAAATTTTAAAGCGTTAAAATCATCCCTTTTTTGTAAGAAAACTAAGGAAAAGACTATAGAAAAGCTAACACAGTTTTTTTAAAACTTTAAAAAAAAAAAACTTTTTTCAGTATAAAGCTTCAAATTACACTTTGACTCTTGCGTACTTTTAAAAATAGCATTTTTTTACGAAAATAAAGTTTATGAAAATTCCATAGAGTTTTTTTCTTGTGATCTGATAAATTTTATTATCAAGTTCAGTTGCTTTTCTCTTTATAAGTTTCAGTAATAAGACTCCAAAACAGAAATTTATCTATAGCCTCTTTGCATGTTTTTTGAAGTACGAAGCATTTTTTTTTAAACTTAAAAATTAAATTATGTTGTCTTTTATTACATCAATTCATATATTTAGTCTAGACAGCGTAAATAATATAATAATAGTTATAAATGTACACTGAGAAAAAAAAAGTATGTTCAGAACTACCATAATATGGTCGAATTTACCGTATTTCTGGCTTGATGGAGGGACCAAAATTAACAATAAAATAGGATTTTATAATATGCAATAAAATTTGGTAAATGTAAAATTTGGTAATTTTATAATGATGCCTTAACACATGGCATAAAAGCTATTTATTCGGTTAGGTTTACTTTTCAGTTTTGTATTTCTTGATAAATGTGAGTTATTAAAAATTATAATTTTGAAAACTAGGATTTTTGATAAATGGATATGCATGGAAATGGTATAAATACCGTATAGTTTGGATTTTATTACCAATATACGTATATATACATTTTTTTTAACCAGAAATGCCATTATTATATAGCACAATAATTTGACCAAAATTTTTTTCTCCGTGTACTTTTCCTTTGAAAAATATCTCCTTGATTTAACTGCTTCCAGAATTACAAAAAAAAAAAATAATGTTAAAATAATTCAAGATTTGAAAAAAATGAAGAAACAATTAAGGATTTTCAAGTATTTTAAGTACACAAGTCAAGTTTCGCACTTGAATCATTAAACTAAAACTTGAATCATTAAAATTTTTAAGAAAGAATTAGAGTTCAAATTATTATGATAATCATATAATTTGAAAAATGAATGTATACTTCTATTATTGAAATAATGAATGAAAAAATACATGCAGTTTATACTGCTGAAAAAATTACAGCTTCTGAGTCTATAATGAATTATAATCTTTGAATACATTTTGAAAATACAAGAAGCTTAAAACTTTATAATTATCATTTTTATTAATAAAAATAAATATATTTATCAATACAATATTTAAAAATGATCATTAAATTGCTTTTTTATAATTAACTATTTTCAGTATTTCGCATCTATCTAGCAAAATTGATCACACAATTATCCTTTATTCAATGGAATATATTATTTTGAAACAAACATTTATAAAAGTTCAGATAAGACAATATTTAAAATATCCAGAGGAGCTTTAGTTTGAATCAAATAAATAAAACCAAATAGAGTTAAGCTCGTAATTCTCAATTTTTTTCTCTTTTTTTACTCTAATCAAGTACATGTGATTACTGTGATATATGAATACAAATGTAAGCAGCTATCAAGTGAACATCTATATAAGAACTTTAAGGTTTCAGGCATATTTCTATTTTAAGTACAAGACATTTTATAAATTTTAACCTTTTTCTTACGGCTGGTACAACATGTGGACCACATGTGATGATACAACACGGTGCACCGTAAGCAAAAGGTTAAAGAATGATTAAAAAAAATATAAACAATAATGAATAAATCTACTGCGGTGCTTGCTTATTACTCATTCAATCACAAAAACAACCTCATTTTCTAATGTCTAGAAAATAACAAGGAAAGAAAGAGGTCTAATAAGTTATTAGTCACAGAAAAAAAAAGTCATCATATTTACCACTATACTATAGGACTTGGTGGCAATGTTGGGGGACTAGAATGCCGGTGATATCTATCTTCTGGCTTCACAAATAGGTACGTAAAGGGAGGTCTAAGTTCGTGATGGGAGGGCAAAGGCCCTGGTGTGGGAAAGTACGTCGGAGGTCCACAGCCACATAGGCTATAGGGTGGTCCGAAAGCGGCAGCATGTGACTGCGACAACGAAGTCAGTAGGGAACTAGCTGTGCTGTACAGAGTTGTAGGAGGAGGTGGAGGCACCATAGGTCCCTCGGTCAAGTCCCTATGTTTCACTAATCCAAGATCGGATCGAATCTTGCTCAAGCCACTGTCCATGGAGCTATAAACGTAAGGTAAGGGGGCGAGTGGAAAAGTTCTAGCGGTCACTGCCTTCTCACTTTCTAAAGCATGATGCGCAAGATGTGGGTACCGGGATGTTAGAGGTTCAAGAGGAGGTGGAAAGGAATGAGTCATACCCATGGGAAGATAGGGTGACTCTTTCTTTACCAACGGTTTTGGTTTCCTTCTGGGCCGGTATTTATAATCAGGATGCTCTTTCATGTGCAGAGCTCTCAGTCTCTTTGCTTCATCAATAAAAGGGCGTTTCTCAGCTTCAGATAGGAGCTTCCATTCAGCTCCTAAGCGTTTAGATATTTCTGAATTGTGCATCTTTGGATTTTCTTGCGCAAGTTTGCGTCGCTGTCCACGAGACCATACCATGAAAGCGTTCATTGGCCTCTTAACGTGATCGCCAGTGTTTTTGCAAGACATCGTTCAATAAAAGATATTTTTGCTTTGCAGTAGACGAGAAAAAGCAATAGACGTCTAACAGTCTTTAGACATATTAGGCAATATATTTTAGTGCTTGAATACGAACCAGTGCTGTTTTCTTCTACTTCACAACTGTAATTTGACCCATTTTGAATAGATTATTCATCCAATATTAAAAATCAACAATTCAATTTTCAGAGAAATCTGAAGAAGTGTGAAATATCGGTTGAAAACTTTGCTCGAACAAAAGTTGAGGAATGAAACACTGAATTAAATGTATGTCCGTTTTGATATAGTGTTGCAAAAACAATCAATCAATTAAGTTCAATTGTCATTCAAGCTCAAGCAAACAATCTGGAAAGAGTTCAAACAAATCCAGTTCGCAAAGTTTTCGCAATCAAGTTCGATCAACAGTGGAGACACAATTTCCCACGTGTTTCCCCGGAGCCGGATCAGTCTCTTTTGACTTTTCCGATTTCCCCACGATGTTCTTCAGATAGATACACGGGGGATACATTCAAAAGGGAGGGAATGCTCGCATCTTGCGAATTCCCACACAAATTCTCATTGGTCTATTTCTCCGTCACGCCCTCCTCCTATTGGTGGAATCAAACCATCTGCTTCCCTCCACAGTTCCACAATAGGTGCACCGGTCGAAAAAATCTTTTCTTTCTTTCCCCGTTTATTTACGAAACTCTAATCTGCTGTTATCTCTTTTATATTTATCCACCAAAGTCGGATAATAGACAACAAAGAAAGAGTATTACGGCAGTTTTTGGATGAAAGATCTTTGTAGTTTGCATTGAGTATACAGAGCTTTTATTGAATTGTGTTCGCACCTTGATTGTCGTAAAAGGGGAGAGATGCTGAAAGAGGATTCTCGGAGAGTTTGCAGAGAGCCAATGAGAGATGCGTTGAAGTAATGGTCTTTTGTTTTAAGTTCTGAGTCGATGAAGTGTGGACCAATCCCGAAATAGCTCTGAGGAAAGGTAGAATTGAAAAAAAAAAGTCGAAACGTCATGCGATGAAAGGAGTTCAAAAGAGCGTGGCGAAGTTAACAACGCAGTTACACGCTTTGATGGCCATCAATGGACGGGAGAAAGAGAGTATATTAAATATTTTTTCTTAGTTATTCCCGTATTTTAGTCTTGAGAGAAAAAAAAAGTGAAATAAATACGTTTCTCTTTCTATAACTAATCAACATAGATAAAAATTAATTACATTTTTCTTGTGAAAAGAATAAGTGATTATTTAAAATAGAAGTACGTTTAGAAAAAAAGAAATCTGCATTTTAGGCTAAATATCCGTACAAAACGCATGATAATTGAGCAGATTTAAATAGTAGAATTTTTTTTATTCCCATATTTTAATGTTGAGAGAAGAAAAAAAGTGAAATAAATACGTTTCTCTTTCTATAACTAATCAACATAGATAAAAATTAATTACATTTTTCTTGTGAAAAGAATAAGTGATTATTTTTAAATAGAAGTACGTTTAGAAAAAAGATATCTGCATTTTAAGCTAAATATCTGTACAAAACGTATGATAATTGATTCGAATTAAATAGTCGATTTTTTTTTTTATTTCCGTATTTTAATCTTGAGAAGAAGTGGAATAAATACGTTTCTCTTTCTGAAACTAATCAACACAGATAAAAATTAATAAAATTTTTCTTGTGAAAAGAATAAGTGATTATTTTTAAATAGAAGTACTTTTAGAAAAAAAGAAATCTGCATTTTAAGCTAAATATCTGTACGAAACGGATGATAATTGATCAGAATTAAATAGTAGAATTTTTTTTATTCCCATATTTTAATGTTGAGAGAAGAAAAAAGGTGAAATAAATACGTTTCTCTTTCTATAACTAATCAACATAGATAAAACTTAATTACATTTTTCTTGTGAAAAGAATAAGTGATTATTTTTAAATAGAAGTACGTTTAGAAAAAAGATATCTGCATTTTAAGCTAAATATCTGTACAAAACGTATGATAATTGATTCGAATTAAATAGTCGATTTTTTTTTTTATTTCCGTATTTTAATCTTGAGAAGAAAAAAAAGTGGAATAAATACGTTTCTCTTTCTGAAACTAATCAAGACAGATAAAAATTAATTAAATTTTTCTTGTGAAAAGAATAAGTGATTATTTTTAAATAGAAGTACTTTTAGAAAAAAAGAAATCTGCATTTTAAGCTAAATATCTGTACGAAACGGATGATAATTGATCCGAATTAAATAGTAGATTTTTTAAAATTTTTTTTTTAACAATTGACATACTGTTTTATGTCCTTTATTTTTAATGACTGAAAGCTTCTATAGTTTTAAGATCTATGTAAATTCTACTTTTTATAGTAATCTAGATGTCCTTTACAAAGTTGTATGAAGATTTTTTTTGTTCATCAGCAATTACTATACATTTTTCAAACATTTATTTTCAATGTCCATAAATCTCTAAAGATACTTTAACCCAGTGACGCAGGTAGGACACCGGTGGTCAATATATATATATATANTTCGACGCTCTAACTACAATCAAAAATGTAACTTATTATTTTTTTAACTATAAAAGATAGCCTGATAGTTTCTAAAAAAATTGTTAAACATAGTTTGAAATTTTTTTTATTCATATTCAAAAAGATATCAAAAATTGATTTTGTGAATTAAAGAAATTTCAATTATGAATAACTGTTTCTCTTAGATCTAAATAATTGCAAATAAGTGCAGATTTAAAAAAAATATCGTTTAGAAGGGAGGTGTGTATAGAAGATTTCACCTTTAACGCAAAAAAAGACACAACTGTTTCATGCTGTATTTCATACAGCCATGAATTACTAGAATAATAAATATATTATTTTTCACTTATTTTGATCTAAATTTACACAAAAGATTAAATTTATTCAAAATAATAAAATGCAAAATAACATAATTTTTTTAAAAAAATATACTTAATTTATACGAAATAATATTTATAAAAAGTAGAAAAATATACTTCAAAGGGTTCTGTGTCAAAGGGTTATATGTTCATGTAAGCACTGCTATTTGTATTTAGCAAGATGTCCAAATAAAGAGTGACGTGATCAATCCTAGAATATTGTATGTTTTTTTTAATTCTTTAATAATAAAGCAAATTATTTTAGGGCCTTCATTTTAATGACTGAAAATTTCTAAAGTTTAGATATCTAAGTAAGGACAAATTTGTTGTAGTAAGCTGAATGTCCGAATAAAATGTAAGCTGGGCGTCTCAAATGAAATTTCAGGGAAACTGTCGTTATTATACAATTAGTACAGTATTTCAAGTCATTTTTTTCCCATGGCTCAGATAAATGACATGACGAAATGAAGATAAATGATAGTTGAAATACTAAAATATTCTCTATTTTTGTAGTATGCAGTCATTCGAATAAAGAGTGAGCTTTTCTTTTAACCATCCAAAAAAATTGAGCGGAAACTTCTTTTATTATTCAACAACTTATATATTGTTTGATGCTGTGTATTTTTAATGACATGAAATATCTATAGCTCTAAATACATAAGTAAGATCCAGTTGTTTTAGTAAACTACATATCCGAATAAAGAGTATATTGGTAACTCAAATAAAATTGTACGAAAACAACTACGAATATTCATCAATTAGTACAGTATTTTGTTCCACTTATTAATGATGATAAACCTATGTAGTTTTAAATACACAGGCAAGCTCAAATTTTTTGTAATAAATCAAATGTATAAATTAACTGTATAAAGAAATATAGAGAAAGAGAGGGGGGAGAACTTTTTTATTACTCAACTATAATTATGTTATTTTATGTCGTTTATTTTAAACGACTGAAAATCGCTTTTACCTTTTGTATTCTGCAAGATGTCCATTAAAAGTGTCATATAGTTGTCCTACATAAAATTTAATGAGAACTATTACTATTTTTTTTCAAAAATTAATGTAGTACTTTATGTCATTTATTTCGAGTGAAGGAAAATCTCAATAGTTTAAATAACAATTATGGGTGTACTTTTTGTAGTTAGCAAAATTTCCTCAAAACGAGTGAACTGATAGTTCTAAATAATATTGCATGAAAACTTCTTTATTGCTTCATAATAATTATTTTATCATTTATTTTTAATGATAAAAAATCTCTAATTTTTGTTGTAATACGCATGTCTGTATAATAAGTTTGTTGTTTCCATTTAAATTGGATTAGAACTCCTTTTTTTAATTACAAACTTAGTATAGTTACATATTTTTTTTTTAGTGAAACTACGTTGTATTAATAGTGCCACAAATTAAGATGAATATCTTTTAATATAATTAAAAGTAATCGAAATTAGGATAGTTTAAACTGGAATATCATGAACACGTTGTTGTATTAACACGCTTTCGACATTTTAAAGAACAACAGAATAACAGCAGTCAAATAATGGAAGCATAAATATTTCGATGTATAGAGTTTGTATTTCATTCTATTATAAAATTAAAATCTAGTGCTGATTTGTATAATAATTAAATGTAATAGTGAAAAAAATCACCTTGGGTTTTTGCAAGGATTGCGTAAAACCATAACAACGCTATAGTTAGATTATGAGCAATAAACTTATATCACCTGAAACCAGTCACTTAATAATGAATATTGCAAGTCATTTAGAATTTTGTTACCTAATATTTTTCAATATTCATTCTCATGTTGACATTTTGCGTTATTTTTATAATTGTCATAGCGGTCCCTCTGACTAAATATCAGCAAAATTTAATCTAGATTGTAAAAAATTACGGTAAAAAGTACTGGAACAAGTTACGGAATAAAAAACTGTAATTTTTACAGTAATAATTACCGTAAAATCACTGAAAAACTTCAATTTAAAAAAATCCCTGTAAAAATTACTGTTAATTATTTTACGGTAAGAATGAATTTTAAGGTAAAATAGATTTTACGGATGATGCACTTACGGTACAGATATATCCGTAATTTTTTACTGTGTAGTTTGCTTTATTTTATTTTATAACCATCGTTGAACAGCCGACTCAAATTTGAGTTTACGGCTCTCAATGTTGTAATTTTGAACCTAATCCAAAAGAAAAGGGAACTCCTTGATCAAGTATTGGGAGAAATTTATCTTCGTTGAGGACTTTTTGATAGAGCTACTCTCATTTGCGTTACACGGAGAGGAAAACCACGAAAATCACCCGTGACTAGTTTGATGGCAAGGGGACTTTAACCCATGATCTGCCTACCACTGAGGACACTTTACGTCATCACAGTGGTCGGTTCGATCCGGATGCGGAATTCGCATCGATCAGCCATCGCTGGGAATCGAACCTGGGTCACCTAATTGGGAGACGAGCGCGGTATCCCCTGAGCTCTTGAATAACTATTGAAAACTCATGAAAGTCCTGAAAATAGCATAGATTTTACTAAAATTGTAATTTCATGGAACAACAGAGCTTTCGAAGAGCTGCTTTAATGCCCTTTCATCTAAAATAGTAACTCTTTCAAGATGGATTGCATAGTTGTATCTTTCAAGATGGTTGCTATCTTTACCTCTTTAGTAATTGAAGATATTTTTAAAATAAAAAAGAAGAAATTTAGTGAATCAAAAATATGGATGAGAAAAAAATGTGACACAAAAATATGAAATTTTACAGTAAGGTTAAAAATTCTATCAGAAAGATTGCTTTTTTTCAGACTATAACAATTGTATCGTTTCAGACGATGAAATCAGAATTTTTTTATTAATAAAGACACTCCTCAACTCGTTTTAACAAATTAAACTATTTAATTTTACAGTTATGATGTTAAACTTTTCCCTCAGATGGATGAAACACTGAGAGAGCATGTTAGTATAATACAATGGGATGGGTAGCTATTAAGGGGTTAACATTCGTAGAAACTCCCATCTTGGAAGTTTTAAATAAATAAAAGCATAATTTATTCTGCAAAGCTTTTATTGAAGTATTTTTTCGGTAGTTCAACCACCTCTATTTCATGAGATTAAAAAAAAAGAAAAAAGAAAAAAAAAAAAAAGGAGAGAAATAAAACTTTGTGTATAAATAAAGCATTAACATGTTACTAGACTTTTTCGCATACGGGAGGTTCCCTTCGCATTCCCTT